CGTTCTGGGCCTTTGCCTCCTTAGTTCCGCTAACTTGTGCAGCAGTGCGAGAACCCGTCCTTTGAAGCAAAATTATCAAGGCCCAACAAAGTGGACAAACCTAGGGTAGACTTTGCAAATCTTGTGGATCGGTTGCGCCCTTCAGCTCAATAGGTGAGAATGCTACCAGTCCGGAAGGTTTTGCAAGAAAGGGTGTCACACACGCAAAAAGCACAGCCAAGGCACAGAATCGATCTAGAGGCCTTCTGGGAAAGCCTCCCAAAGATCGCAAAACCGCGGCTCCTCAGCCGTGAGTTTGTTATAGTAGGGTTGGCACGGAGGAGCTTCAAACTAACGGAGGCTAAAATCGAACAGGCAAACCACTGCAGCGAAAGTTGCGTCAAATATTTGTGTTCGCTCCTTGCGCTTGCATTAATCTAGCTTTGCTTCGATGGCGTTCTTGCGCACCACGCTTTGAATGCAACAAATCTGGTGAGAAATCCCATTGTACATCGGATAAGGAACATGCAGATCCAATATGCAGTAGAGACCGGACTTTGTTTTTCAATGAAAAAGAACACAAAGATAAACACCCAACAATACCAGACTGACAAAGGACTAAGATATGACAAACTCTCCGTACCAACGGAAAAATATATTGGAAAAACTGGGTGGCAAAGGAGAACAGCAAGTTTTCAAAGCTGAACAGACCCTTGTACATGAAAACAAGTTTTCTTGAAAGAGTGTGCATGCGCCACCCTGTTCCGTCTGGGTGGCCATGTTTTTGGTTGCCTGAAGGGGTGGGTGGTGAGTTTCCCGACAAAAGTCTCACAAGTCTGCCAGTCGCCGCTCTGCCAACTTCAGTTGATTACCCAAAAAAATCAAAGCAATTTACTCAAAACACTCCACTCAAAACACTCTACTGAATACAACTAAATCACAGCATGTCGGTTTAATGCAGGCAAGCAACAACCCCCTTTCCAGTACGTGAGTGATCTTTCTTCGAGCGCCGGCCAGCAGCCGCAGAATTAAACAGGCAAGAGAAAGCAAAAAACAAGAAAACAATTCGCATCATGATAACCACGCACGAAGTTCCAGAACACTCGCAACACAGCTGGTCTTTTGTGTGCACTGCACCACACAACATACAGGTTTATGTAGATATATAACTTATGCAACTGGTTCCTAAAATTTCCTCCAGAAAGCTGTTGATTGAATTGTGAGTGAAGTAAGCTTGATCCACAGTTGCGAGGTTGGGACATAAAACAGACATGAACAAGTACATGCACATTCCCGTTGAAAATCCGGAGAATCTGACTTGCCAGGTTACTTTACTTTTCGTTTTGTTCTGCATCGGATTTTGGATGCTTGAAAGAGCAAGTGTACTGCTACTTTTTTGTCCAGATACTACAGTTACTACAGTTCTTTTGAAAGTAATTTTGTCCAGAAAACATGTCATAAACGTTGTGGCACGAGAAGTAAGAAAAGAAACAAATGGAGCAGATTAAGGCATGGTGTGGTTAAGAGTATGTATAGAAATAAGTATGCATATATATATATATATACACACACATGGTTTTACCGTGTCCATCTCTGTATGCTATATTATATGTACTTGAGGCCGGGGGTGGATGACGAAAGCTAGCGGGGTAGGAGAAAGAAGGAAGGGAAGAGGTGAGTTGCGGAGGGACTGTCATCATCGTGTCGCGGCATTGTTCGTCCCAACGAGGATGCAACAATGATATATTGATATATGATATATAACAATGATATATATGGGGGAGGGGGCCGGGGGGGGCCCTTTCGCGGGAAAAATCACGTGATGTCCTTGAGCAGCCCCCCCAATACTTGCTAAAGCAAGAAGACTCCAGCTAGCTGACGCTAGCTTTCGTGATATCCGTATATTTATATATATCTGAAAAACAGGCAACGTGCTCACACCTCAGATTTTCCACTGCACTTTGAGCCACTTGTTGGGCCACGGGCAAGCACAGATTTGTGCGTGTCATCCTTGCACCAAGAGACAGGTCATGCTAATCTTCTCTGTATCGTTTCAACTGCCTACAACCTATCACATGGGTGTGAGTGCCATGACTGAAGTTTGACACCCCACCTTGGCAACATGTTCCTTTGAAACTTGTTGTCATCTTTGAAACTTCATGCATATTTTGACTGCATTTACAGTCAACTGTGCTGCTTAATTCAGCTTTTATCCTAGGTTTCCAAGGCCGCTGAAAAAAAAAATGTCTCTCACTTGGTTGAATTCGTTCGCCTGGGCTGTAGCAAACATTCCATTGCCTCATGCTTTGATTGCCTGCCACATGCCTTCAAGCTATGTCACGTAGGGTCTCAATTTCATGCATCGCTCGTGTGAATGTCGCAGCAGCTTCCCAATCTCCTTGTTCTTCAGCTTGAGCTCGTCGGCTCTGCAATGAAGCCAGCGCATTCTGAAGTCGAAGTTGGTTGGCCTGAGAAAAGGCCAGCATTCGGTCATATCATATTCATCTCTGTCGTTGTCACCTATTTTCCACGCTTACCACTACTACCAGGAACCCTATCTCCTATATCTACCAAATCTATCATACAGCAATGGGTCACAGATATTTCAACCTTGCAGTGCCCCGTGGTATCTGCTTAAGATATGCTCACGCATCTCACAAGCCTGCCTCTGCATTTCGGCTTCCAACTCTCTGAGATGGTCACGGAACATCGCTATGATGTCTCGCTGGTTCGCACTCAGACGAACATCTTCAAAGCAACGGCAAAAGCCATTCTATGAGAACAAGCACAGTCTGTATCATATCAGCCGAAATACACTCGTCACTTTCTCCAAGCCGATAATCCAACCAATGTACTGCTCCTCCATTGCTTCACGTAATGGCCGGTTCTCACGACGGTTGTCCATTCTTAGTACAGATGGTATGGCGATACTTTTCTTGAGCTTAAACGCCTCGGTTTCACTCACAATCCAGTGGTTTCTCAACTTTTACTTTCAAAAAACTTCTAGGCCAGTTGTCGGAGTCTCTATTGTCCAAACACTCCACTTGTGTCTCCAGGACTCACTCCCAACTTCAGCCTATCGAGATATTCTCAACGCTCATCTCCAGGCAAGTTGTCGGCGTCTTCACTGTCCAAACACCTCACTTGTGTCTCCAGGACTTACTCCCAACCTCAGCCTGTCGAGATACTCTCAAGCATTTCAAAAACATGTCATCTCCGGCAATCAATTGACAAGTCACCTTCAACAAATGACCTCACAGCCAACATGCCAAAACTGAAACAAAACACACATCATCTGAATCAAGAATACTCAAGCTCTTCGATGCCCTTGACTTTACAATAGCAATGTACCAACCTAGTGATCACTGTAGAACCTCAGTACAAGCTCAACACAGACCTAGCGCTAAAATCCAGGAGCTCAATACAAACGATCTCAGCTTCACCTTAGATGGTGTCCTTAGTACACTGCAACAAGGGTCAGCGGAGAATGGTGTGGGTAGCTCCGTAGAGCTCCGCTACCATGTAGAAAAAGCGCCGTGCACAGATCTGCGATCAGATCCAACGCTTCTTCAAAATTCCTACAGAACTACGCAGGCGGACGCGTACGTCAACCACGCACACCAAACACAAGCGCAGAGCGTAAATTCACAAACCTAATTAAACTAAAGCAATACCGTGTCAAAAGGATTGTTTCACCCTCGACTCCCACATGCTGACGTCAAGCTCCTTCTTTTCGCTCCAGACGCAACACGATCAGTCACGGGGAAACACAAACACAACAAACAAACAAAAGAACAAAACCAACAACAGGAGATGATGTGTTCCCTGTGTCGGTCTGTCTTATGTCAAGTTATGTGACACAGCAGCTCTTGTTCATTAAATGAACTTCTGACACCAGTCCTTCGAGCCGATGTCTCAACTGGTAAACTCGATTCCAGGTTTCCAGTTAACAAACCTCAAGTTCTTCAAATAAAGGTCTGTTGAAACTATTCCAGCTGCTAGAAGTCTACAAAACTCAATTTCACTAGATGAATTCAAAATCATCGAAACACTTCCAAAAGTTCTCAAATCAAACTGGTTCTCATCCAAACGTGAATAACCAGCTCATTAGTCACAAGCTGACTAACTTCTCAAGAACGAAGTGATTCACACACGGTGTCTGTACAACCTTCTTCTGGATACAAAACATAGTCAGAACACAAAGTTCTTTCTCCAAATCAGTTTTCCACATAGAGATAGCATCTCACAGCTTCAAACCTCAATGTAGAATAGAATGTTCTGTTTGACATTGTCAATGTAGGTCAGCCAAATACAGTTGTATCGCTGAAGTCTTTCGACCACTGTAATAGCCAATCCACAATGTAGACCAAAGTCGTCTCAAAACAATATCATCCTCATAGAGATAGCCAAAGTCTTCTCAGGAACGATAAAATGCACACCATAAGATCAAGTGTACGATCCATAGGTCACGATGACGATGATGTAGGTATTGTCCTCACAATACCGGAACATCTCATCACAAAACTCTCAGACAAATAAGATGCGCCAATGGCGCCATTGTCCTCACAATGCCAATGCACCTCAAGGTCCAAGACTCAAAGTATAGTAGGTTCTCTCCATCAGATATTTCCAGCCAGCTTAAACTCTTCTCTAAGAGTTTCTAGCTGTGTTCTCATCACTTGGAGAGAATAAACTTATCAGTGTTCAGTGTCACGACACAAGAAGTAATCTCAATGTCAAACCAATGTAGGTATCTTCAGTTCAAGCAATAAGCTGTACCAGATTCAAGTAGAATCCAGAATAAGATGTAGGACCAATCTTCTATGACGCGATGAACTCTTGCAGTAGCCTTCCACGTATCTTCTGTGCATAAACTATACAACCATGATGAATGGCATGTCGACTCTTACACAAAGGGTGCTCCCACAGAGTGTCAAATTTCCATGTGAAGTTGTAGCTTCAGCTTCTTCACTCGCTCAGCATCTGGCAAGTCTTTGACCCATCTACACTGCATGTACGACTTCATCCATGCCAAGTTGTGCAGGCTCTACTTCGCTGATGAATATGCCAAGCGGGCGGTCGGGCTGCCTCACGCAAGCATGTCCCGGACATTGCGGGCGCGCTTCGAGCGGTCCAGACCATCCTCCCCAAACTCGAAGTCAAAATGGTTGAATTTTTAGCTGAATGGATGGTCACTCTTTTAATGCCAGCATCGCACGTACTGGAAGTGAGGACACCTCACCTTTCCTTCAAAATGCTCAAGGAATACTGGTTTAGAGCTGTACCTGGGCTTGAAAGTCACAGTATCTTTCGACCGCTCCGAATCATACACCAGAGTAATCGATGGTCAGGTAAGATGCATCACGCCCGAAGTCAAGCCGCAGAATTTGCAAGTCATCTGGAACGTGCGGTTTATCACAGTTTTCGTGCCAGCATGGATGATCCCACCTGTATACCATAGCCTGCGCAGAGAAAGCATCAAAACCGCAAGTTCCGCCAGTCCCATAGGCGTCCAGTCGGTCCGCTCCACCTGGTTTGAAGACACAACACCCAAGGACACCGCACCCCAACCTTATCAAGGTGTTGCACAATTGAATCCAGCTTTGGCCGTAGTTTGGAGAGTCCTCATCACTTGAAAAGCCTGTCATTTTCCTGGTATGACAGCTGCTGACAGTCCAGTTAACTGGTTTCCAGACTTGCACGTATTCATCAAATCGCTCC